CCAATGTCCCCAAGGCAGCTGCAGCACCCCAGGGGAACACGCAGGAATTTGGGGTCTCAAAGCCCCAGGGGTGTTTTAGGGCCAAGGACAGGGGTGTCCCCAGTACAATGTCACAATTGTCCACCTCAGGATTGTCCCCAATGTCCCCAACCTGGGTGACAGCCCCAACCTCACCCAGGGGTGTGAGTGAAAGTGAAGATGCAGCCCCCAGGGGAACACGCAGGAATTTGGGGTCTCAAAGCCCAGAGGTGTTTGGGGTTTAGGACAGGGGTGTCCCCAGACAGATGTCACTGTCACCGGGTTGTGCTGAGCTCTGAGACGCTGACGGGGACAGGGAGGCTCCCACGGACCCTGTCCCCACCCCACAGGTGTCACTCCAGCTCACGGGGCAGGAATTGGTTTCCTGCAGCCCCATCCGGCCCGGGCAGGACGGGAGGGGACACGGGAGGGGACACGGGGCTGGGACGGTCCCCGAGCCCCACGTCAGGACACCGGGGTGGCCTCTTGGGAAAGGGCAGGTGAGTCAGGGACGGGAGCGGGGACAGGTTTGGGGTGAATCCGTCAGGGACAGGTTTGGGGTGAATCAGTCGGGGACAGGTTTGGGGTGAATCAGCGGCCCCGGAGCCAGGCGGGCCCGTGACTCCTGAGCCTGGAATTTGGGGTGAGCAAGGGGCAGGTGTCCCCACAGAGGGAAGGGGAGGGGACATCCAGGTGACACCCAGGGGTTTTTGTCACACTGGGATTCCCATCGGGGCGGTTCCCGTGGGTAGGGAGGGGTGAGATGGACTTGGGGACACCAGCAGGGACAGGAGGGGAGCATGGAGGGAACGGGACTGGGATCATGGAGGGACTGGGGCCATGTAGGGACAGAGGTGGGACCATATAGAGATTTGGGGCATATGGGGACAGGGACTGGGCCATATAGGAACAAGGACTGTGTAGGGACTTGGGCCATATAGGGACAAGGAACATATAGAGACTTGGGGCATATGGGGACAGGGACCATATAGGGACAGGGATGGGACCACATAGGACTTGGCCCATATAGAGACTTCGGCCATATAGGGACAGGGACCATATAGGGACAGGGACTGTGTAGGAACTTGGGCCATATAGGGACAGGGACCATATAGAGATTTGGGCCATATAGGGACAAGGAACATGTAAGGACTTGAGCCATAAAGGGACAGGGACAGGACCATATAGGGCAATATAGGGACTCGGGCCATATAGGGACAAGGAACATATAGGGACAGGGCCATACAGGGACTCGGGCCATATAGGGACAAAGAACATATAAGGACTTGGGCCATATAGAGACAGGGACTGTGTAGGGACTTGGGCCATATAGAGATTTGGGCCATATAGGGACAGGGACAGGGCCATACAGGGACTCGGGCCATATTGAGATTTGGGCCATATGTGGGTACAGGGCCATATAGGGACAGGAACCTTATAGGGACAGGGATCATATAGGGTCTTGAGTCATACAGGGGCAGAGATAGGGCCATATAGATACTTGGGCCATACAGGGACAGGACCATACAGGGACAGGGACTATATAGGGACAGGGCCATATGGGAACAATGAACATATAGGGTCTTGGGCCATATAGGGGCAGGGACGTGACTCAGGCCATACAGGGACAGGGACCATGTAGGGACAGGGACAAGACCATAAAGGGACTCAGCCCATATAAGACCACAGGACCCTGTGTGACAGAGTGACCACAAGCAGGGGGTCAGTGTCCACTTCCACATCTTCATCCTGGGCTTCTTCACACCCTGCCTGAGCTGGAGACCCCAAATTGGGGATGTCACCATGGCCACCACAGTGACCAGTCTGGGGACCCCAACTGGTGATGCCACCATGGCCACCACAGTGACCAGTCTGGGGACCCCAACCATGACGGCCACCACGGCCACCATGGCCACCAGGATCCAGCCCAGCAGTGGTCCCTGTCTGGGTTGAGGACCCTAACTGGGGATAGTCACCATGGCCACCACTGCCACCGTGGCCACCAGGGTGACACCAACCTGGTAGTGATCCCTGTCTCAGTTGAGGACCCCAACCAGGGATGTCACCATGGCCACCACAGCCACCACGGCCACCACGGCCACCACGGTGTCCCCAGCCCGGCGATGTCCCCTGCTGTCCCCACCAGCTCTCTCTGCAGGTGACACTGATGCCACAGAGCCACCACGGGCGGTGTCCCCAGCCCGGCCACCTCAGCTCCTCCCTTCCCAAAGCCCGGGGAGGATGGAAAAGCCTCTTGCAGGCGACGGGATGTGGAGACAAGATCCGGCCCAGCCCCGGCACTGGTTTAAACTGGAGCAACTGGTTTGGCTGGGTCCAAGTGGAGCAGGGGCTGGGACCCGTTCCAAGCTGTGTGTAACGCTCCTGGCATGTCCCTCGCTGCTCCTGATTTGGGAAGAGATTCTGGGAATCTGCCTTGCAGGGTTTGGGACCCCCCAGATTTGGGGTTCACCCTCGGTCCCACTGTCCCAAAGGATTTGGGGGGCTGGGACCTGTTCTGAGCTGTGTGTAAAGCTCCTGGCATGCCCCTTGTTGCTCTCATTTCTGGGAATTTCCATCCCTGCAGGATCCAGGAACCCCCAGGATACCCCAGGACCCCCCAAAGTTGGGGTTCACCCTCGGTGCTGTTGTCCCAGAGCTTTTGGGGTTTGGGATCTGTTCCAAGCTGTGTGTAAAGCTCCTGGCATGTCCCTCTCTGCTCCTGATTTGGGAAGAGATTCTGGGAATCTGCCCTGGACCCCCCAGGAGCCCCCAGATTTGGGGTTCAGCCCCGGTCCCGCTGTCCCAGAGGGTTTGGGGCGCTGGCAATGCCCCTCACACGCTCCACCCGTGCCAGTCCCGGTTCTGTCCCCTCTGTCCCCGCCTGGCACGGGCTGGGCCCGGGGTTATTTTTGGCCAATGCCCGTCCCTGTCACGAGCCCGGTGACGTTCCCGGGATCCTGATCCGCTCTGGGGACGGGGACACCGAGAGTGAGTGACACAGGACCCCTCCGGTACCCCCAAATTCGGGATTTTGGGATCTGGCCCCTCACGGTGCCCCCCAAATTCGGGATCTCGGGATCCCTCCCGGTGCCCCCCCAAACTCGGAATTTTGGGATCCGGCCCCTCCCAGTGTCCCCCAATCTCGGAATTTTAAGATCCAACCCCTCCTGGAGCCCCCCAAACTTGGAATTTTGAGGGACAGGACACAGGGATGGCGGGGACAGGAAATGAGGGAGCTGCAGGATGTTAATTAAATTAACCCCTAATTAGGGCTCGGCACCGCCCGGCCCTGCTGGAAATGGTGCTGCTGTTTGGGGGGGTCCCAAATCCTGGGGAGTCACAGAGAGGGGGTGAGGGATTTGGGGATCAGGAATTTGGGGGATTGGGAATTTGGGGTTGAGGAATTTGGGGGATGAGGGACTTGGGGGATCAGGAATTCGGGGGATCGGGAAATTGGGGTTGAGGAATTTGAGGGATGAAGAACTTGGGGGATCGGGAATTTGGGGGATTATGAATTTTGGGGATCAGAAATTGGGGGATCAGGAATTTGGGGGAATCAAGAATTTGGGAGATGAGGAATTTGGGAGATTGGGAATTTAGGAGATGAGGAATTCGGGGGATCAGGAATTTGGGGGATTAGCAATCTGGGGGATCATGAATTCGGGGCCTGAGGAATTTAAGAGATTAGGGATTCAGGAGATGAGGAATTCGGGGGATAAGAAATTTGGGGGATGAGGAATTCGGGAGATCAGGAATTGGGGGGTGAGGAATTTCGGAGATTAGGAATTAATCCAGGACATGGGGAATTCGGGGCATTGGGAATTCGGGGGATCAGGAATTCAGGGGAACTGGAATCTGGGGGATCAGTAATTCAGGAGATCAGGAATTCAGGGTATCAGGAATTTGAGGGATCAGGAATCTGGGGGATCAGAAATCTGGGGGATCAGTAATTCAGGGCCTGAGGAATTCGAGGGCAGAGGAATTCGGGGGATCCGGAATTTGAGGGATCGGGAATTCGGGGTCTGAGGAATTCGGGGGATCAGCAATCTGGGGGAATCAGTAATTCAGGAGATGAGGAATTCGAGGTATCAGGAATTCTGGGGCTGAGGAATTTGGGGGATCAGAATTCAGGGGATCAGAAATTCAGGGCCTGAGGAATTCGGGGTATCAGGAATTCGGGGGCTGAGGAATTTGGGGGATCAGCAATCTGGGGGATCAGTAATTCAGGGCCTGCCTGAGGAATTTGGGGGATCAGGAATCCAGACCCTGAGGAGTTCAGGCGATCAGGAATTCGGGGGATCCGGAATCTGGGGGATCAGGAATTCGGTGGCTGAGGAATTCGGGGGATCAGGAATTCAGGGGATCACGAACGTGGGGGACCAGCAATCTGAGGGATCAGCAATCCAGGAGATGAGGAATTCAGGGCATCAGTAATTCGGGCACTCAGGAATCCGGTGCCGCTCTCCCCGGGGCCGCCGGAGCCGCGGGGGCTGCGGGGCTCCAGCCCGCTCGGCCCCGGGGCCGTAACGGGATCCCGGCCATTATCAGCATCCCCGGGGCCAGCTCGGCTCCGGTTTCCTCGGCCGAGCCGTTGCTGCAGCAACGCCGGGCCGGGCCTTGTGGGGCCTTTTGAGGGCGGACAAGAGCCCTTTGAGAGCTCCGAGTCACCCGATAGCCCCCGGCGCTCCCCCCGGGCCGCGCCGGCTCCCGGGGACACCGGATCCGCGATGGGCACCGGGAGCGACCCCGGGGATGCGGCCCCGGTGCCGGCGCTGACAGACGGGGGATGCCCTCGGTGCCACCGCGGTGCCACCGCGGTGCCACCCCGAGGTCACCTCCCCGACGAGGGACCCCCGTGTCCATCCCAATCCTCACGGTGTCCCCAGTTTTTCCACATTTCGGGGTGACAAGGGACGCTGGAGGGTGGCACGGGGACCCCTCCTGAGCGATGCTGAGCCCCCGCGGGTCTGGGGGTGCTGCCCGCGGGTTGTGCCCCCCATGCCCGGCCCCTGCGGGGCTGGCTCGCGGTGCCAGCCCGGCTGCCCAGCCCCGGTATCGGATCCTCCCGGAGGGAGGGGGATTGGAGCTTATTTAACGTGCCCGGCCCGGCCGGGAGGGAGCACTCGGAGCGCGGGGAGCTCAGGTGAGCGCAGGTGACTCTGGTGCACCCCGAATAGGCCCTCGGAAACCCCTGGAAGGCCCCAGATCCCCCTGGGATCCCCTCAGAACCCCTGGATCTCCTCAGAAACCCCTGGGATCCCCTCAGAACACCCTGGGATCCCCTCAGAACCCCCTGGGATCCCCTCAGAAACCCCTGGATCCCCTCAGAACCCCCTGGGATCCCCTCAGAAACCCCTGGATCCCCCCAAACCCCCTGGGATCTCCTCAGAACCCCCTGCCCAACCTCTGGGATCCCCCCAGATCCCCCTGGGATCCCCTCAGAAACCCCTGGATCCCCTCAGAAACCCCTGGGATCCCCTCAGAACCCCCTGCCCAGCCCCTGGGATCCCCCCCAGATCCCCAGTCCTGCCTCTGGGATCCCCTCAGAACCCCCAGTCCTGCCCCTGGATCCCCCCAAAACCCCCTGGGATGCCCCAGACCCCCCCTGGGATGCCCCAGTCCTGCCCCTGAGATACCTCCAGACCCCAGATCAGGAATTTAGGAAATGAGGAATTTGGGGGATGAGGAATCTGGGGGAAATTAGGATATGAGGAATTTGGGGGATCAGGAATTTAGGGGATCAGGAATTTAGAAGATGAGGAATTTCGGGGATCAAGAATTTGGAGGTTGAGGAACTTGGGAGACGAGGAATTTGGGGGATCAGGAATTTAGGAGATGAGGAATTTGGGGGATTAGGAAATGGGGAGATCAGGAACTTGGGGGATCAGGAATTTGGGGGATCAGAATTTGGAGGATCAGGAATTTGAGGGCTGAGGAATTTGGGGGATCAGGAATTTGGGGGATCAGGAATTTGAGGGATCAGGAATTTGGAGGGTTAGGAATTGGGGGGATCAGGAACTTGGGGGATCAGGAATTTGGGGGATCAGGAATTTAGTAAATGAGGAATTTGGGAGATCAGGAATTTGGGGGATCAGGAATTTGGGGGACCAGGAATTTGGGGGACCAGGAAATTAGGATCTGAGGAACTTGGGGGATCAGGAAATTTGAGCTCTGAGGAATTTGGGAGACGAGGAATTCGGGGGTTTAGGAATTTGGGGGTCGGGAATTTGGAGAATGAGGAACCCGGGGGCTGTGACCAGGGGGTGTCACCCACACAGGGGGGCTGCCAGGTGACGTGCTGGGGGTCCCGCAGCCGCAGCCATGACATCGCAGCTGGAAGGGGCCATGGAGACCCTGATCAATGTCTTCCACCACTACTCGGGCAAGGAAGGGGACAAGTACAAGCTGAGCAAGAAGGAGCTCAAGGAGCTGCTGCAGAGCGAGCTGGGATGTTTCCTGGAGGTAACTGGGACCAGTTTGGCCACTGGGGGGGCTCTTTTCCCCCATTTTCCCCCCATTTCCCAGCCCCACGGCTCACCCTGTGTCACCCCCAGGCCCAGAAGGACGCGGGGGCCGTGGAGAAGATCATGCAGGACCTGGATGAGAACGGCGATGGAGAGGTGGATTTCCAGGAGTTCGTGGTCCTGGTGGCCACCCTGACTGTGGCCTGCAACACTTTCTTCTGGGAGAACGCCTGACCCTCCCCTCTCCTGCTGCAGATCCCAAAATCCAGAGCGCCCCCAGAGCCCCCAGATCAGCCCCTCTGCCCCCCAGCATTCCCAGGGGATCCCGATGAGATCCGGCTGCACAATAAAGGCACCGACCCAACCCGAGGGGTGTTTGAGCTCCTTCCTTTGGTCCTGCTCGGGATTCCTGCCCTGGATCCACCCTGTGAGTGCCCCCGGGGGATATCCCAGGGTGGGGTCATGGGGAAATCCACCCTGGGTTGCCCCAAGGGCCTGGAAAGAGCCCTGGATCCACCCTGAGATCCATCCTGGGATCCACCCCAGGATCCACCACAGGATCCACCCTCAGATTTACACCGGGATCATGGGGAAAAGCCATCCTAGGTCACCCCAAGGGCTTGGAGACAGCCCTGGATCCATCCTGGGATCCACCCTCAGATTCACCCCGGAGTCATGGGGAAATCCACCCTGGGTCATCCCCAAGGAGCTGGAGACAGTCCTGGATCCACCCTGGGATCCACCCAGGAATTCCATGATTCCACCTCATGATCCACCCCAGGATCCACCTCAGAATCCCCCCTAGGATCCACCCTGGGATCCCCCTTGGGATCTACCCTGGGATCCACTCTGGGGTCACGGGGAAATCCACCCTGGGTCACCCCAAGGGTTTGGAGACCATCTTGGGATCCACCTTGGGATCCACCCTGGGATCCACCCTCGAATTCATCCCGGGGTCATGGGGAAATCTACTCTGGGTCACTCCAAGGGTTTGGAGACAGCCCTGGATCCACTCTGGGATCCAACCCGGGATCCACCCTCAGATTTACCCCGGGGTCATGGGGAAATCCACCCTGGGTGACCCCAAGGGCCTGGAAATAGCCCTGGATCCAGCCTGGGATCCACCCTGAGGTGCACTCTGGGGTCACAGGGAAATCCACCCTGGGTCACCTCAAGGGTTTGGAAACCATCTTGGGATCCACCCTGGGATCCCCCTTGGATCCTCCCTGGGATTCAGCCTGGGATTCACCCCAGAATCCTCCCCAGAATCCCCCCTGGAATCTCCTCTGGGAACCCCCCTGGGTTCCATCCTGGGATCCACCTCGGGGTCCCCTCTGGGATCTCCCCTGGAATCCCCTCTGAGATCCACCCTGGGATCCACCCCAGGATCCACCATGGGGTCCCCTCTGGGATCCCCTGGGACTGATCCCGGGATCCTCCCTGGGATTCACCCTTGGATGTCCCTGGGGTCCCCTTTGGGATCCCCTGGGATCCACCCCAGGATCCACCCCGGGATTCCTCCCTGTGATCCCCCCCAGGGCAGGGTGACCCCGCCGGGCCGTGGCACACCGGGATCACCGGGATTTGGGTACGGGGGAGGACGGGACAGGCCGGGACTCGCCACGGGCGGCTCCGGAGGCACCCGCGGGGCCGGAGGAACCGGTTGGGATCTCCCGGGAATGGGATGGGACAGGATGGGACGGGACGGTGGCCAAGGGCTCCAGCAGGGCCGCCAGCGCCATCACCCGCCCGCCATCCCGGTCTGGGATCGGCATGGTTATAAAAATAGTAATATAATTACAGTAATAAAATTTGGACAATTTGGATTTAGGACAATACGAGACAATAAATACAAAGAGTTACAGACAGTCCAGGTGCCTTTTCTGGGCAAAATAAACCAGAAAAAGGACACACATTAACAGAGGATTAACCCTTAAAAGCATCAACATGTTGCATATTCATACATCTCATACATGATGCATAAATTCCATTCAAATACAGGATTCTGTCTGGGCAGAGTCAGCTTCTTCCTCTGAATCTTAATGTCATCTTCAGGGTTAAGCAAGGCAGGAAGAAGTTTGTTTCTCCTGATAATGGAGCAATAAATTCTCTTTCTCTGAAAGATTCAGGTGTCCCGTGGCTGCTATCTCACTGTGAGTCCTTTCTTTAAAAAAAGAATCTTACATAGCATCGTTTCTATTTTAACATTTTGTTCTAACCTAAAACTGTATTTAACACAGTACTTAAGAGAATTAATACAGTGTAACTTTCTGACATAACACATATAATATTCATTTCTATATTTGCCAAAAGCCAATAATAAAATACGCATTTTTCACGCTGTGGTTCCATGACAATTCCAGGACAATTCCATGATGGTTCCATGACAATTCCATAACAATCCCATGACGACTCCATGACGATTCCCTGACAATTCCCCGACAATTCCATGACGATTCCCTGATGATTCCATGACGATTCCATGACAATCCCATGACGATTTCATGACGACACCCCTCCCTATGACGTCACCAGGACTCCACCCCGAATTCCCGCCAGACCGTTCCCGCCTCCCCCTCCTCCCCGCCCTCTTCCCCGCCCCCTCCGCGGCTCCACCAATCACCGCCCACCAAGGGCGGGGCTCGCGCTGCAGGGGGCGTGGCCGGGAGCGCGGCCGCCATTTCGGCGGGGGCGGGAGCGGCGCGGGCGCCATTTTGTCGCGGGCAGCTGAGGGAGAAGCGGCGGCGGCGGGAGCGGGCGGAGCTCAGCGCCAGCCCCGGCCCCGGCCCCGGCCCCGCGCCGGCCCCACACCGGCCCCGCAATCACCCGCTCGCCCGCCGGAGCCACCGGAGACCTGGCGACCGTGTGCTTCGGTGAGTGAGCGGCCTGGGGGTGGAGAGCCGGTGGGGCGATCCTGAGGGCCCTGGAGGTCCCCTCATGATCCCTTCATGGTCCCCTCACGATCTCCCTCATGATCCCCTCACGATCCCCTCACGGCCCCCTCATGATCCCCTCACGATCCCCCTCACGATCCCCTCATGGTCCCCCTCAGGGTCGGGGCTCTTCCCTCTTACCGAGCTCCAGAGCCGGGCCTGAGGGGGCCGAGCTTATTTATTTTCCCTCTCAGGAAGAAAAACGCTTTAAAAACCACTTCTAATTGAAACAGCTGCTGTATATTAAAATCAAATTATGAAAATAATTTAAAACAGCAATAAGTCTTTCTGTTGTCGCAATTTTTGTGTGTAAATTCTCTCAATAAAGCGGTTTTTGAGGGTATTATACACTGAGCGCATCCCGGTGGTCGCCCACTCGTTAAATTTGCTGCTAATTATAAATTAAATTAATAAATCGATCTGCAGAGCTCGGAGGTTGGAACCCAGCGTGTTTCTGTAGCATCCAGCACTGGGGGGGGGGGGGATTTAAATCCCTGCCCTGAGGGGATTTAAACCTCGATGTTTTTAGAGGCTATGATGATGCTTTTGTAGCATCACCTTGGATTTTTATTCGAAATTTTATTCCCTGTGCCCTTAAAATTGGGATTTGCACCTTGGTCGTGCTACGAATATGGGAAATGTGGAGGTGTCACTGTGCTAAAGGCATTTGGGTGCTATTTATAGCTGGATTTTTGTGTTATTACTCAAAAAAGCGATAAGGTATTCACTGTAAAAAGATAAATATTTGCTAAAGGTAAATTAAAATAACTCCCATGTTTTTTAAACCTCGTAGAGGGTTAGAAAACATTAAAAATACACAAATATAATATTTATCATTTGCCTCACTCTTAGTTTTCTCCACACAGAACAGAGGTTTTTTAATGTTTGATTATGTAAATATGTAATAATTGTATTAATTTGATGTCTTGGGTTCTGGTTTGCATCTTTGCTCTGAAGATGCCATTTGGTTTCCATCTTGCTGCTGGATTTTTATATTATTCCTCCTAATATTGCTGAAGCATTCACTGTAAAAATATCAATTTTTGGTAAGGGAGAAATCAGGGTTTATTTAAACAAGATTTTTAAGAGAGGAGTAAAAAACATTCAAAATCACAGAATCGGAACTGAAAAATAGAGGCTTAAAAATCACTGAAAATAGATGAATATATTACACATAACCTGCAGTAATCTTGATTTCCTCCACTCATGGAGGCAGAACAGAGGGAATTTTTGGTATTTAGTGATATAAATGTGTGCTAAATGTCTAAATTTTTATTTTTGCAGATTCTCTGAAGATGGCTGCACAGTCAGCACCGAAGGTCGTGCTAAAGAGCACCACCAAGATGTCTCTGAACGAGCGGTGAGGAAGCCAACGGCACCTTCAGCTCCTAAGAAATCATAGCTATTTTTTTTTATTATTTTTTTTTTACTTAATTCTCACTATCAAAAAAAAAAAAAAAAAATCCAAAACCAAAAAAATCCAAAAAGAAAAAAAATCCAAAAAAACCCGCCGTGGTTTTTTCCGCCCTCTTTTAACCTCCTCCAGCGAGCGGGCGGTGCCTTCCACACCCGCCTTACCCAAGGTTAAAAGGGCCAAAAAAAAACAAAATTCCGGAGGGGATTTCTCCGTGCTTTTAGTTGTCGTAAACCCGGTGGGATGTGTTGTAAGAGCAGAGACCAACCTCACACCCTCCCTGTCTCTCCCACATGTTTTGACATCGGTATTTTGGCCCTGCTGCCGCGCCCGAGGGTCCCGCCCGCCCGGGTGGGCTCTGTAAGAGGCCGGCGGCGGCCTCGGAACCGGCCCGAAGGCCCTTCTGGGCCTTGTAAGAGGCACCAGCTTTGGCTTCACCTCCATCTCTCGCTGTCCTCCAGCTCTCCCCGTGCCTCATCCCGCTGGGTTTGTCCACGTCTGGCTCCTCCCTGATCGCTGACGGGTGTCTGTCTGTCCTGCTGGGGTTAAACACGCTGGGATGGGGCAGCACCTGAGCTCAGGGACACCCTGCTGGCTCCTTCCCTCCCTGTCAGCCCAAACTCCTTGTTTGTAAGGGGTAGATCTCATTTTTGGGCAGTAAATTTCATTTCTAGGAGGTAAATTTCATTTTTATGGGGTGAATTCCATTTTTAGGAGGTGAATTTCCTTTTTATGGGGTGGATTTCATTTTTAGGCAGCAAATTTCATTTCTAGGAGGTGGATTTCATTTTTAGGAGGTGAATTCCATTTTTAGGAGGTGAATTTCCTTTTTATGGGGTGGATTTCATTTTTAGGAGGTGAATTTCCTTTTTATGGGGTGAATTCCATTTTTAGGAGGTGAATTTCCTTTTTATGGGGTGGATTTCATTTTTAGGAGGTAAAGCTCAT